GCTCATACTCGTTTAAATGATGCTAAGCTGAGCCCACCTTAGTGAGGTAGTAAATGCCGTAAAAGGATTCGTGTCCATGGCTTGTAAGGACCCGGTTTTCCGAAAATCAGTTTTTCAAGAATTCCAACAAATAACCAAAACCTTTTTCCTAAATGTTCATTGTCAGCTCAAAGCTACAGAAATGAGAAGAAATTAGTTTAGGGCGTTTCTTGTACTGAAGTTTTATGCTGAACCCAGCATAAATTCATCTGAATTTTGCCAAATCAAACACAATTTTGTGGATAATAGCAGATTAAGCAAAGTTCTGCGAAATCTGTGACAGTTGTGAGACCATTCTTGGATAATTCTGATATTATTCATATCGTTCTCGTTAATTTGGCAAAATTCTGGAAAATGTGTTGATGAGTTACACTAATTGATCATACATGAATTTACGTGTAGTAACTCCTAACTGAACACGTTCTTTCTTTGCAAAGTTGATTTCATGCAGATGCTTCCATTCTGATTTGTACATGGTTCGATAGACCTTAGTGAGGTCGAAAATATCCTAAAAAGTTCGTGCCCATGGCTCTTGAAGACTCGGTTTTCTGGAAAACCAATTTTTCATGAACTCCAAAAATAACCAAAACCTATATTAAATGAGGCATGATTGTAGTAACTCCCAGCTCAGCACGATCTTTCTTTGCAAAGTTGTAGAGTTTACAAGAAACGCCCTAAACTAATTTCTTCTCATTTCTGTAGCTTTGAGCTGACAATGAACATTTAGGATACTTTGTAAATTCTATAACTTTGCAAAGACAGATCGTGTAGAGCTGGGAGATGTCTCATTCTAATCAGACATTTGCGGGCTACCATCAGTCATCAAAAAGGTTTAGGTTAGTTTTTGGAATTCTTGAAAAACTGATTTCCAGAAAACCGAGCCATCACGAGCCATGGACACGAATCCTTTTATGGTATTTACTACCTCACTGAGGTAAGCTCAGCTTTGCATCATTTAAACGAGTATGAGCTTGGATACATTTTTGGATATGGAAAAGTTGGAATTTTCGTGCTTTTCAACGATTTTATAGTCATTCTCAGAGTGCATAGGCAGTGCCATTTTGGGCATATTTTGCAAAATTTGCCGTTGGGCCACGTAACTAGCTATAACTTTGGCACTTATGCTGTTTAGACAATTTTTCATGCATGGCTCACTTAGAGTTTCTTACAAAAGTCTCGTTTAAGAAAACACGACCTATTCCTAGGGTGTTAAAACCGTCTTTCGCGATTCTGTTCCCGCCATTTCTCGCACACTTTTTTTTAAAAGCAAACGTGGATTTCAACACAACTCGTCAGGAGCTTCAAAACCAGCACAGTGAGATGTGAGCGGCTCGAAGTCGTGTAAAAAGTGGGCGGAGCCAACTGTCTTCACCCGCATAGAGATAAATAGTACTAATCCATGTATATTTACATTGATCATGTTCAATTTGTTCTAACATAATTAACAGCTAACATTTCATCTTTATCTTTAAAATAGCTTTTAGCGTAATCTTTCGTGGACTGATGATGTGTATCGAGCGATGCTTTGTAGTCGTTGATAAAAAAAATTCTTGAAACTAAAAAAACCAACAACACTTTCACATGAAATTAAAGCCAGTTCATCGATAAAAATTGCTTGTCTATTAAAGATGAGATCAGTTCGATCCCAAAGCGAACCGAAATTGATTCGGTTTGAACTTTGAAAGAAATCGATCGGTTCCGTTCGGTTCAGTTATAAAAATGTCTTACTCGCTGAGGTTAGGCCCGACTTCCGCTACTTTTGGTTTGGAGGTTGAAAAAGAACATCTAAAAATGTGGTACTGCGCGAAAGACAGATGTTGTTCTTAATTTAGTCAGTTTAACATCCGTCTGATTTGTCTCTCGCATATACAGATGATAAACCGTTTGACTCTTTCTTTACACATTCACTATACATACTTGTTTGCACTTGATTATATTTTCGTCGTATTTTTGTTTTTTAGCCCAATCGGCTGATAAAGAAGCAATATGGACGATTGTTGAACGTTCTGATGGTGAATTAATGAACAATGAACGATTCTATTCCTTCCCTGTCATGTTCAAACTATGTTTCTTCTTCTGTCTCTATATAGTCAATGAATTCTCATTTTCCTATATTATCTGACTCATCCGATGAGAGATACACAACAGAACGATCACGCTTTTCCTCAAATAGAAAATATAAGCGAGCATTGGTCAAGTTTTATGCTCAACCCAGCGTAAATTCATCTATGATCAGTTAGTATAATTCACCAACACATTTTCCAGAATTTTCCCAAATCAAATACAATTTTGTGAATAATAGCAGATTAAGCAAAGTTCTGCGAAATCTGTGACAGTTGTGAGACCATTCTTGGATAATTCTGATATTATTCATATCGTTCTCCTTAATTTGGCAAAATTCTGGAAAATGTGTTGATGAGTTACACTAATTGATCATAGATGAATTTACGCTGTGTTGATGATAAATTTCACCATTACACAGTCCTCAAAATAGTGGGTCTGGACAGATACTAAATTATTTGAAAAACTTTCGATTCGAGAAAAGTAATAAAGTTACTTTTGAACAGAGTTTTCCTATAGTTGAAAGAAAAAGAAGAAAAAAACATTTTTTCTTAGTTTTAATATGTGTTAAAAAACAGTCGCACAGCGGCAGTAAGATAAGAAAAACTATCCAATCAAAGGAAAGGTGAGTGCGAACATTCTCTAAAATGAACTATGTCGATGTCAGATTATGATGAGCATTTTATAACTCTGTTAATAGGCCGAATAGTGATTCACGTTTGAGAATCCGATGAAATTGATAGAAGAGCTCTTTTGACTCGCGATATAGTTTGAAAAATAAAATTTCTGCATAAGTTATTTGCTTTTATGAATCCATTACTAATTCTTCAGCTTTAAAAGCCATGATTTTCGGATCACTGTGTATCAGATGTCAACAGGATTTTAAAAGTTTTTTTTTTTTAAAGTCCCAAGCAGAATCCTTGCGGTAATTTTGTGGTTGTCAAATGAATGTCCACTCGCACAAAGCAAAAAAAAGAGAGCCGAAAAGTCTCTACAAAATGAGACCTTTTTCGACTTCAACGACCTTCCCTTAGAAAGTTATACAGTTTTTAAAATTTTCCACTGCTGTACAAAAAGCTCGAAAATTTAACTTTTTGAATTTTTTCTCGGTTCGGGCAGAACTGGAAACTTTTAGAAAACGATGTGTTTTTTAAACTGAAAGCTATCCCCGCTTTTCAAACCCTTTTCCAAAAAGTTGTTAGCTTTCTACGAAAAGTACAGTTTTTCTGAGCACTTTTTGTACAAATGTACAGAATGCAAAATCGACTTTTTTCTACCGATCAAACTAGGTACATTATAGCTATCTTTAAATTTCATCCGACCGAGGTGAAGTTTTTACCATAAATACTAGACACTATTTTACAGAGGTTTAACTTTTTGTTTTCGTTGAGCCTTTCGCCTTGAGTTATAGGGTCTTATATCATACCTTAGCACATATCTGAGGAGTTATGTCTAGTATATGGAGTAAAAATTCCAGCTTGATCGAAGGAAGTTTTAAGGGGAGTTGTAATGTACGCCATGAAAATCGAGTTTTCCAGACTACTCTTTTAAACCGAACAAAACTGAAAAATTCAAGAAAAAAGGTCTAGAGATACTACTGAGATCAACACCCAGTGAAAATTTCAACTTCGTGCGACATTCTGTCTCAATAACATCTTGAGTGGAAAAAGAGAGGAGGGCACCTTAAGATTACTAACTACTTTCTGTCATCTTTTTACTTTCTTTTCTTTATCTTTTGATAGTAATAACACAGAGAAGACGGTAATACTAGTAGAAAATATTATTCGTCTTTTTCCTCGTCCATCGATGAAGAAAAAAGAAAAAAAAAGCACAGAAAGCAGTACGAACTATTTCTTTGAATGTGGATCGTTATCATTTTTTTGTTCAAACAGTTTGTATAAAACGGTTTTTTATTTAAAAACGTGTTGTTTTTGTTAAATAAAATACCGTATTGACGTGTATTTTTTGTCGTTTTTTTTGCCTTTTAAAAGTGAAGCTTCACTAGTAAGATAGTCTTCTTAAAAGCGAAAAGAAGAGCAACTACTAATATGTCCTACCAATAACCAACTACTAACAGCATTAGCACAGTGATTAAATGTCTCACGCTGCCAATTCTACGTTAGGTAATCCCGCGCATTCGAACCACGACAGGACAGCTTTTTTTCACAAGAATCCTCGGTTATTTCATGTAGTGAAAACCGTTTCGGGTTTTCATTTTGGTTTAGGGATGCAAGTAAAAAATTTAAAAACGGACTTCTGACGTATTTTATGTTTCGGTATAGTTTAACCAAAACCTTTTTTTAAATTCCGATTATTTTTTGGAGCGTAGTTTTATACCTTCATGGCCCCGTATCGCATTTGTTAAGGAACCAGCAACTTCGATCCTCGTATATATACTTGATTTCGCAACGTACATAGTAGACAGATTGTAAACAGTTGTAGCAAAGAGAAAAAGGTGAATCATCCTCAGTGTGGTTTGTGTTTGTGAAAAATTCAAAATAAAAACAATTACAACGTTACTGATGTGATTCTTTTTTTGTAGGTTTGTAGTTAGACATTTTCAAACATTAAAAAAATAGAAAAAATACATGATCAAAAACCAGAGCATGTCAGACAGCAGAAAAATCCCACATGACTTCAATCTCTACCGCTACATTCCAAGCCTTCCGCTGCTCATCGCAGCATGCATTCTATTCGGTCTCACTACAATCGTGCATATTTATCAACTCTTTCGTCGCAAGACAAAGTACTTTATTCCATTTGTAATCGGTGGTGTCTTGGAAGTAGCAGGATACATTGCAAGAGGAATCGGTAGGAATGATCTATATAATCTTGACCATTACATCGTTCAAGCTGTCTTCCTCCTGGTTCCACCAGCATTCTTCTCAGCTTCGATCTACATGATCCTAAGTCGTCTTATCAAATTTACGCACGGTGAACAATTTTCAATCATCAAAGTTAGCCTATTGAGTACCATCTTTGTCATTGCCGATATTGTCTCGTTACTACTACAAGCAGCAGGTGGTGCAATGCAAGCATCAACCGGACTTGAAACAATTGCAAAACCAGTTGTTATCATTGGGCTCGTTTTTCAAATTGTCTTTTTCACATTCTTTCTTACAGCAGCAATCGCTTTTCATCTACGCATGGGTGGTCGATCAGTCGAACAACAAGTTAATTTTAGTAGTGGTGGTGGTGAATGGAAACAATTACTATGGATTGTCTATATATCTGGAATTTTCATTTTAATTCGATCGATTTATCGTGTCACTGAATATTCAATGGGTTTTAATGGATACCTAATGAGTACAGAAGTTTTTTTCTATGTTTTTGATTCATTGCTGATGTTTATTGTTATGCTCGTATACAATGTTTGGCACCCATCGAGAATCCTCAATCCCAACACATTGGTAGTAGCTGCAAGCTCAAATGGTTTTAAGCTCAAGGTAAATCCTTCGGTTCAAAATACCTGAGCTGGTTTAAGCGGTTTGGATGAATTAGCTTAGATACGTGTAGTTTTCTTCACAACTGATGTGCGTATGATATGGACATTCATACACACAGACATTTATATACGTTGTATACTAATGCTCTACGAATGACAATAAAGAGTGGTGTTTTGTACCAAATATATGCATGCTTTAAAATACTTGGATGCTCTCTTGTTTCTTTCTTTTTGTGTATAAGGCCTAAGATTGGACTTCTGACCTGTCTCCATCTCTGATTCAAACCATAGAATGTACAACGAAACTAAGTTATTTATTCGGATTTCTCATCATAGAAAAATGATTTGATTGAAATGTTCAACACCTAGCTTGCTCAAAAGTCGCTAACGAATAAAACGTGCACATGGTTCACATTCAGAGTACATGTTTCTATTATTAAAAATAGAATTTACAACAAAAAATCACCACAATTTAAATGAACACTATCGAATTATAAAAAAGCTCTTTGTCGCTCAATCTAACATTTGCGATATGGCAAACCTCTTTGTGTACATGAATAACAATAGGAAACAGCCTCGTAAAACTGAAACGACATCTCACTCACTACAATTAGCTAATCACTCTGTTCTTCAATAACTTGGATGTTCTCTAAATTTTTCGTTTCTTAGCACCATTCAACGATTTTTTGAGACCTCAGGAAAAATGTTCATAGCTTCCTAACCATGGGTTTTCAAGATGTCGCTTAGATCGACTTTTGTAGAGAACACTTTGGACTATATATGCGCTCAAAAAAATCAATAGATTCATGTTCGAATTCCTACTACAGCTAGACTATTGCTGTATAGACTACGATATTCAATGACTGGATGCACTTAAGAGAGGCTTGTCCACGTAACGCAACACTTCGCTGATCAAGTTTTGACATAGGATATCTTAGGTCAGGATTCGAATATTTCCTGAATTGATTCGCCCCATAACTGGATCCAACCCAAGGGGAGAAAAGCGCACTCTGCGGAGTAAAGCACACTCCACCGCACTTCAGCACTCCGTACAATAGTCCGGAGTGGTGGAATGTGCTTTTTTCTTAGAATAAAGTAGTGATATTTTTCTCAATGAAGATGTTCGTCCGACTTAAATCCGTGCCCCTCTCCTCCCCCAGAAAAGATGATTTTCGGTCAAAAAATTGGTTCTGAGATACTCACATGGAAAGGGTAGCCGCAAGTGTCTACTTCCAGAATCTGTATGGCTTTTAGTAATAAAAGTAGTTTTGAGGGGATTTTGAGCAAGTTTTCTAAGAACCTCGAAAAATCGGGTTTTCGATTAATACTTTTGGTTTTTGCTGAAAACTTATGCAAGTAAAAGTTTTCTGAAGATACAGATTAAACGTTTCTGATAAAACAAGACCTCGCACAACTCTGTATGACCTTGCATCAAAACGTTACAGGCATTTTCCTAGAAGTTCTAAAATCGAGTATTTTATACAGCGTTCTATGTAAGACTTACAGTTGAAGTATTTTCCAAGATTTTAGTTATAGCACCACTCCTAAACGGGAAGACTTTATTTTCCGTAAGACTTGGAATCAAAAAACTTTTTGATACTCGTAACTCATTAAACCTAACATGTATGGAAAATTTCGTTCAAGATCGGATGTAATTTCTGAGGAAAGGGGTCAAAAGAACTATGGAGGATTTCGTATATTTCATAAAAAAGTGTACAAAAAAGCTTTCATTTTTAATCCCATTTCCGCGAACTTAGAGGACAATGTCTACGGCTCGTGAAGACTCGGTTTTCTGGAAATCAGTTTTTCAAGAATTCCAAAAACTAACCTAAACCTTTTTTGATGACTGATGATAGCCCACAAATTTCTGATTAAAATGAGACATCTCCCAGCTCTACACGATCTTTCTTTGCAAAGTTATAGAATTTACAAAGAGTCCTAAATGTTCATTGTCAGCTCAAAGCTACAGAAATGAGAAGAAATTAGTTTAGGGCGTTTCTTGTAAACTCTACAACTTTGCAAAGAAAGATCGTGCTGAGCTGAGAGTTACTACAATCATGCCTCATTTAATATAGGTTTTGGTTATTTTTGGAGTTCATGAAAAATTGGTTTTCCAGAAAACCGAGTCTTCAAGAGCCATGGGCACGAACCTTTTAGGATATTTTCTACCTCACTAAGGTCTATCGATCCATGTACAAATCAGAATGGAAGCATCTGCATGGAATCAGAAGATTACATCTCGACAGGTTCTCTCGTGAGCAGCAGACATTTAAAAATATTCATAGTGTTTAAATAACAACCGTTATCAAACAACTACTTATATAATAAAACATATGAAAATTGATCATTGTGTACTGATATTAGATCATTTAGCTACAGAATTATTAATCATTAAAGCTACAGAAATGAGAAGAAATTAGTTTAGGGCGTTTCTTGTAAACTCTATAACTTTGCAAACAAAGAGCATGTTCAGCTAGGAGTTACTAGTATCAAAAAGTTT